TATGAAAAATTCAATAAAGATTTAGAGTTGTTTAATGTCACTATAGGTAGCTTTAAAAATAGTATGAAGTATATCACTATTAATTGTAAAAAGGGTTTCACCCGTAAATAAATAAATAAACATGCAGTATTTATTTTAAGAGCTTATAAAACCATCACCCCTTGTAACAATTATGAAAGTGTGGCACTTCAGGAAAGAGGCTATTGAACTGAGAAAAATAATTCGAAATAACAGTTGACCTATCTCCAAAAATACAGAATGTAATTTCTGGTTAAGCTGGATGTTAGTAAAAAACAAGTTGTTCAGTATTTGTTAGACCACTGAACTTTATATAAAATACAATTTTATTAGAAGGCGAAAAAATGTTGTAGCTAGAAATTGTAAATTAAGTGGATATAAGAAATGTAATGGTAAACACCATACTCTGCTGCATAAACCTAAGGAAAATGGACCAGTAGTGGACACTTCGGAAGTAACTCCTGAATTAGCTGTTGAAGAAGCATCCCAGGTACCTAAATACTTTCTTTTCTCAAGATATTGTAGTAGATGTCATTCTTTCAACAGCTTTGGTTAAAGTAACAGATAGAAAAGGTAAAACATATTTATGTAGGGCTTTATTAGGACAAGGGTTCACAGTCAAATTTGGTAACCAAAGAGTTCTGTGAGAAATTGGGATTAAAAGTGGTATTACTCAAACTGTTTCTTATATTAATAAGAAGTGCTTAGTCACAATTCAATCTAATCATTTTGATTTTAATAAAACATTAGTGGTTCCTAAAATTAGTGAGAAAATTCCTGGAAAATGTTTAGATGGCATTCATACTAGAATCCCTAACAATATAAAATTAGCAGATTCAACTTTTTATAAATGTGGTAAAGTCGACTTATTGATAGGAGTAGATATTTTCTAGGAGTTATTGTGTGTAGGTCAAGTATCTTTGGGGAAACATTTGCCTATGTTGCAGAAGACTAAGTTAGGTTGGGTGGTTGGAGGTTCTGTTCCTTTTATTAAACCTTTAACCTCTAAATGTAATTTAAACTTAAATATGGATATCTAGGAACAATTAATACAATTTTGAACAGTTGAAAAATCACCTATATTAACAAGGATCCTCTCTGAGGAAGATAAGACGTGTGAAAGATTATTTGTAGAAACTGTAGATAGGGCTGAAAATGGACAGTTTATTGTTAGAATTCCTTTATAAGATTCACCTGGTAAATTAGGGAATTCTAAAAATAAGTTTATTTCTCTTGAAAAAATATTTTCCAGAAATGACGATTTAAAGTCCAAATATGTAGAATTCATATAGACTTAGGGCACATGTTGGTTGTTCAAAGTCAGAAAGAAATTTCTTATTATTTACTTCATCACCCAGTCGTTGATGAAAATCGTTCAACTACAAAGTTAAAGAGTCGTTTTTAATGGTTCAGCACCTAGAGATACTGGAGTTTCAGTTAATTACAGTATATTGGCCCTAATGTTCACGATGATTTATTGGCAATTTTATTTAGATTTAGGAAGAATAAAGTAGTTATTTGTGCTGACATTAAGAAAATGTACAGAATGATATTGGTTGTTAAGGATTAAAGATATTCACAAAAAATTGTTTGGAGAACAAATCCAGAGGAAGAGCTTGAGTAAATTTCCAGATGCTTCAAAGACCATTTTACATGATTTCTATGTAGATGATCTGTTATCAGGTACCAATAATGTGGAAAAAGGAGTTGAACTATTTAGTAAAGTGTCAGAAATCTTGAAATCAGGTGGCTTTGAGTTAAGAAAATGCATTTCTAATTGTCCTGAAGTAATAGATAGGATTCCTGGTGGTAGTGCTGTAGCGGGAAAACTATATTTTGGAGACAAGGGTGAAAATAAAACTTTAGGAATTTTTTGGTCATTTCCTCATCCTAATAAAATTACAAAAAGATCATGGCTTTCAGACATCTAAAATTTTCGACCCATTAGGTCTGTTAGGTCCCAGTATCATTAATGCAAAAATCCTGCTGCAAAAACTCTGGACATTAAAATTGGATTGGGATCAAGAGCTTCCGAATGATATTTGTAAGGTGTGGTCTAAATTAAAGGATCAATTTGTTTTATTAAATAAATTAAATATTTTAAGACAGGTAGTAGGTGATAAAGCTCTTAAGGTGGAATTACATAGAGTCTCTGATTCTTCCCTGGATGCTTATGGTGGGTGCGTTTACTTTAGAAGAATTAATGAATCTGGTAAAATAAATGTGTCTTTGGTATCTGCTAAAGTTAAAGTTTCACCTCTAAAAACTTGAACAATTCCAAGATTAGAATTAGGTATGTGGTGCAATGGTACTTGCACAATTGGTTGAAAAAATTAGACAGTCAATAGATATGGAAATCTCAGATTTTTATTACCGTTCAGATTCTGCAATAGTTTTGGGGTGGTTGTCAATGTCACCACATTTATTGCAAACTTTTGTAAGCAATAGGGTTTCTCAAATTCAGAGTTTAAGTAAATCATCAGAATGGTATCATATAAGATCTGAATCAAACCCTGCAGATCTGCTATCTAAATGATCTACTTACAAGTAAGATGTGGTGGGAAGGACCTGCATGGCTCTTTTTGGATAAAAAAGATTTGCCTCAATCAATTGGGTTACTAGTTGAAGAACTACCTTAAGTAAAAGGTACTTCAACATTGTGTGCTGTGGGTAAAATATCCCTCACATTGTTTGAGAGATTTTCTAGTCTTACAAAATTAAAACAGGTGGTTTCTTTTATTTTAAGGTTTGCACATAATCTTAAGAATCCTAGTAATAGATTCTATTAAAAATTCTATTTGTCAGTATATGCAGAAATAGTCTATTAGTACCAAAACGAATTAGCGCTGCTGTCGCGCACGGAGCGAATACATTACTCACGCAAGTGGAAGCAGTCCTAAATTCTTGTCCACTTGTGCCACTTTTTACAAGTCCAGATCTTTGATGTGTTAACTCCAGCATTTTTTTTATTTGATGAAGACTTGTTTCTGTGGCAGACCCAAATGTGACTGATATCCCAGATAATCGCTTGTCAAAATATCAACACATGCCAAAATTGCAACAACATTTTTGGCAGCGGTGGTACAAACAATATATCATGGAATTACAAACAATACAAAGTGGATCAAGGAAGAGGCCAACCTAGAACTAGGACAGTTAGTACTTATCAAAGATGATCAACTACCTCCAATGAAGTGGAACTTAGGCCACATCACCAAGGTTCATCAAGGTCCAGATAAGAAGGTCTGAGTGGCAACTATAAAGACACCTCATGGAGAAGTCACAAGAGGCATTTCCAAGCTGCGCCCTCTTCCAAAAGACTATAAAATTATTTGGTTCTAGAATGTTTGTTTACAGTTTTTAATTTTTTAACTTGTTAAGTGTGTTAGATAATTTTTGAAAGACATTCTTTCAAGGTGGGGGATATGTTTAGTACTTATTATGCCACTTAACTTTACATTAAATGTAATTTTATTAGAAGGAAAAAAATGTTGCTAGAAACCGTCATTGTAGATTTGAAAATACAATGTCATATGAAATTTGAAATAAAGATATAACTTATAATTTATATTAGATACAGTCCAAAAAATATTAGAATTCATAGTTGGAACCAGCTAAAGAGTTTAACACTGAAACAAGTAGGTACACAGAAAAAATTAAAAAGATTGGTGAAAACCGCATTTCATTATTACAACTAATTTAAAAACTTAGTGTTTTAGAAAGGTTCAAAATATAATGGAAAACCTGGTATCAAGATGATGAAATCCTGATAGTTTAAAGTGTCTTTATAATAGTAGGTTTGATAGAAGTTTAAATTTAATACTGTAAGTCAAGTGTGATTTTGGAAGGTTTCAGATAATTTGTTAATGAGTTCTAAAAAAAATATTTAAATTTAAACTTTAAATAAGTCTTTGTATGTTAACAATAAGTTAATTTTGTTCTTTCCATAAAGTATGGACATACATTTTTCAAGTTAACAGTGAGGCAGAGTCAAACTTGTTGAAAGATATTAATAAATATTTAACAAACTTGCATCTGAAAGGTATGCAACCAAATATACACATTATTGGTGCATTAATAAGTAATATTATTTCATTCAATAAAACATTCCTATTATTAGTTTTAACTTTAATTACATTCCAGACTTTTTGATAGAATCATAAGTACTTTTTTTATTTAAATATACTTATATAAAACCAGGACGAACATTAAATAATAAAAGGATTCAATACCTATCAATTTAGACATTTTTATATCAATTTTGACTAATTACCAAGACTATTATAAAAGTAATTGGCATCACTGTATTTTAGTTAAATAGGTTGGTTATTAATTGGTATGTACTTACATACATATTAAAAACCGAAAATTAACAAAGTATGCAACTCATCAAATTCATTAGGAAATTATGATAAATTTATAGGTATGTTGTTCTGACCAATAACAGTATTATATTCTATCGATTTGAAAGTCTAGACTAAGTGTCGAATATAAGACTGCAAAAAACCATTAATCCAAATGATATTAAAATGGTGTGTACGTAGATACCTAGTATAAACCGATACATTTGGAAATAACGGGATATTTTAAATACTTCGGTATGTAAAAGCAACAATTATTGAAGAAGCAAGGTCTCTGTCGTATGACGTTTCAGAAATGACAATGAAAAGAAGTTAATGTAGTTAGTAAACTGCACAGGTAAAATCTGAAAGCCTTGGCCCGATTTTTAGATCCTTTCCTATTAGCTACGCATTAACATTTTTTTAACAATTAATAATTATATGTATAAGTACAAAAATTGCGAATCTCGACAGCTGTCTGTGTACCTTAATTTTGTACTATTTATTTAAAGAAGGAAGTGTCAATTAACGTGTTCCCATTCGAGGTTAGTTAAGCATACGTTAGTTATAGTACATAGCGAAAATATACATAAAAAGTTGATACTGTACCAATTTGAAACTTAAATCATCTGTCACACATACCGAAGAGGTTTCTTCATTAGGGAAAACCCCAACAAGTAGAAATTCCACTTTTTATCCAAAATAAGCACAATCACACAATTTTAACCACTTGTTGTTTTTTTGCATTAAAAAAACGACACACACTTAACTAATAGTCATCTCCATTATTCCATTTAGCACACGACGGTAAATACATATCTCGTTTGACATATTATTATCAAAATAGAGTGAGAGCGTAAGAAAACGTATAATACCGTGCCACTCACTCACATTCACATTGTACTTTAAAGATTTCACTTTACAAGCTTCTTCCCCTTTCAGCAGAAAGTGGACGTTACCGTACGAGTTGTTCGCGAGAGCGCGTTTGGAAGGCGCCACTGATCAAAGTAAGCTAGGTTCGAGTTCGAGCGGGTTCGAGACTCGACGACTCGATCGTTGGTATCGCGCTAGTCGATTGCCATTTAAGAATTAAGAACATGTTGAATATCGATTTATTCCTGAAATCTCCAGATTTCGCACTTTTTATGAAACTTTGTAATTTTCGAGTTTAGAACTATAATTAGATAGGTATATAGGTACCTAAAATAAGTTATATCTAATTACCTAGTTAGGTATTATTAGACAAGTGTTGATTTTTAGGTATAGGTATCAATCGGATTCGTTAGTGTATTTTTTTATTTGTGAATAGAGGCAGGGCCGGCCCCAGGGTAGGGCGATCCGGGCGACCGCCCGGAGCGTAATGATCTAGGGGCGCCAAAATCATGGAAAATTAAAATAAACTGATAAAAAAATTAAGTTACAGGCTTTTATAAAATGCACTAAAAAGTAAAGAATATTTTTTTATCATTCTGATATCATATCAATAAATTATTTTTCATAATATTGCATTGTCATCGGACCCTTATAAGTATACCAAATTTCATTGTGTTCACGGGAATTTTCTCAAAAACGCGTTGCAAGATTTGACTAATAGTTGACAAGATTACGAGGCGGCAGGCTGAATTTATCATTTTTATTTCTAAGCACATACTTCAAATAATATAATATATTTAAATATTAAGGCAAAATCTAGTTGAATTCAATTCAACATGACAAAACCACTCAACCACCGCCTTTCAAGAATTGACAAGTTTTTCGGCCCGTGGCAACACGACTGTACATGAAACAACAATTTTGAAACCAAGCGAAACAATATCTAACAGCCCTTTTTAACTGCATATAAAAAGGAAGTATACTTAAAACAATGCATTATTTGCCACTAGACTTCGGCTGGTGCGAAATAATAGTACATTATATACCTAGGGCGAGGTAAATAATAGCTTTCTCAGCCGAGGTATATATAGAATTTTTTTTACTACTAACATTAATATATTATCAATTTTAATTTTGACATAAGTAATTTCCTAACAATTTGTTAAATATTTCGAAATATCAAGCAGACTGGAGCGTGTTTCTAATCAGACTGGCTTTATTTATGTAAAAATTTGGCATGTGTCAAATTTTGGTATGATTCTAGGAAATATCCCATGGTATTTTTGATATTTTAATGACATGGATTTATTGGTACCTATTAATTAATAATTTTTGAAGCCGGTGTTGAATTTCCTAGTTAATATATATTTTTACTGTTTACACTGATATATATTATCATATTTGATTTGATTAGATTTGATAAACCCAGCTTTAGTTATTTCCTACTTATTTTTCAAATATTTCAAAATATCAAGTAGTCTGGGAGTTTAGTTGTCAAATTAACAAAATGAAACTAATGAAATTTAGTTTCATTATTTACCTAGGTTTTTTTTTATTATCATTATTTACCTAGGGTGAGAAATATTACTTCTCATTAGAGGAAAAATAGTTTTTTACTACTAACATGAGAAAGCACCATTATTTACTCCATTCCTCTAATGAGAAGTAATATTTCTCACCCTAGGTAAATAATGATAATAAAAAAACCTAGGTAATTAATGAAACTAAATTTCATTAGTTTCATTTTGTTAATTTGACAACTAAACTCCCAGACTACTTGATATTTTGAAATATTTGAAAAATAAGTACGAAATAACTAAATCTGGGTTTATCAAATCTAATCAAATCAAATATGATAATATATATCAGTGTAAACAGTAAAAATATATATTAACTAGGAAATTCAACACCGGCTTCAAAAATTATTAATTAATACCAATAAATACATGTCATTAAAATATCAAAAATGCAATGGGATATTTCCTAGAATCATACCAAAATTTGACACATGCCAAATTTTTACATAAATAAAGCCAGTCTGATTAGAAACACGCTCCAGTCTGCTTGATATTTCGAAATATTTAACAAATTGTTAGGAAATTACTTATGTCAAAATTAAAATTGCTAATATATTAATGTTAGTAGTAAAAAAAATTCTATATATACCTCGGCTGAGGAAGCTATTATTTATAATTTATAATAGCTCACTTCTCACCCTAGGTATATAATGTACTATTGTTTAAATTGTTAGTGCAAAAAAGCTTTAAAAAAGTGCTTGTGCAAATTGTCCAGTGCGTTTGGCTTCTGTGAAGGTGTTTTCATTTTTAAAAACTAAAAAAATCCATCAGACATAAGCCCAAAAAAGGGTGGGGAGTAGATTTCAAAAATGAGAGTTTAGATCAAAACATGACTTGTGTGGTATCAAATGAAAGGTAATTAAGTCTGGAGTTGAATAAAATGCATTTTATTTTTTTAAGCCAGTGGCGCACAAGGGGGATTTCAAAAATTAGAGTTTACTTCAAAAAAATGGCTTGTGTAGTATTAAATGAAAGTTGATTGAACCTGCAGTTGAATTAAATGTATTTTATTTTTTAAGCCAGTGGCGCACAAGGGGGATTTCAAAAATTAGAGTTTACATCAAAAAATGGCTTGTATGGTATCAAATGAAAGTCGATTGAACCTACAGTTGAATAAAATTTATTTTATTTTTTTAGGCCAGTGGCGCACAAGGGGGATTTCAAAAATTAGAGTTTACATCAAAAAATGGCTTGTGTAGTATCAAATGAAAGGTAATTGAGTCTGGAGTTGAATAAAATGTATTTTATTTTTTAAGCCAGTGGCGCACAGGGGGATTTCAAAAATTAGAGTTTATATCAAAAAATTACTTGTGTGGATCAAATGAAAGGTAATTGAGTCCGGAGTTGAATGTAATACATTTTTTTTTTAAGTCAGTGACGCATAAGGGGAGAATTTCGAAAATTAGAGTTTAAAACAAATCATGGCTTGTGTGGTATCGAATGAAAGGTAATTGAGTCTGAAGTTGAATAAAATACATTTTTTTAAGCCAGTGGCACACAAGGGGGGTTTCAGTAATTATAATTTAAATCAAATCATGGCTTTTTTTGATATCAGTATTATCTTTTATTTTAATTAATTTGTTCCAGAAACCAAAATGTCCGATGCTAAGAGAAAACCCTCTGGGAGCGAATTTAAAAAGCGGAGATTGAACAAGCAAACACAGCTTCAAAAACAGTGAGATGCGCTGCAGAACTTCTTGAAAAAAGGTAGTTTCAACGCTCCCACAACCGACCAACATTTGAACAACGCCCAGCACCTAGATACTGACTTTCCGGATATGGACCCCCCCTTTAGATGCAACCGTCAGCATTACTGAGCTGGGTAGCAGTGTTGCCGATTTGCGGGTAATTACCCGAAAATCGGGTTTTTCGACTTGTTTTGGGGGTAAAATTTTCAATGCGGGTAAAACCGGGTATTTACAATCTAATGAAAAACAGAAAACGGTGCGCAGGTAAAATAAATACACCAAGCAGCAAATTAAAGATTATCCGGTTGATCCAACTGCCACGGCTTGAGACGAAAAAAAGAGAAGACGACGGCTGTGGTGGTGACTTGTAAAAGGTGAGTGACATTTCACATTTGACATTACGTTTAACAGGTTTAAAAACAAAAAAGAACAAAACAATAATAATAAATAATAATAATAATAATATTGTAATAACAAATAAATACTGGCTGCTGTTCCTGTTATCCTGTTTTAAATGTAAATTTATACATAGATTTCCTAATTCAACAAGGTAAGTTGTACCAAATTTTTTTGTTGGAGGTTGGATTTATTTTATTCTTTATTATTATCATGTTGTGGTTTGTACTATAGATCGTAGTTTTGTATGGTAAGGTTTTGATAATGGATAGGTGGTTAATTACTTCAAGTACTGCAACATCTAGTTTGGATATTGCGGTGGTGGAGGAGGTAAAGGTTGCGGTATATATTATAGAAGTTACTGATATTTTATTGATTTTTGTATTAATATATTTTATTAGGAATGTGATAAATCCGAACACACCAACCGGTCTGAAAAGAGCGAGCCCATTCAACAGGAGCCCAGACACAGCCAGAGATCAGAGATTGTTGATAAAGAACACTTAACTGATAATTATGAAAATAAATCAGACGAAGAACCCTCTGCTGGCGCTGAGGGTGCTGACACTGATGATCTTCCTGTTCCCAAACCCAAACGTCAGAAACTTCCTCCACATTTAAAAAATAAATTTTGTGTTTCTTGGTTGCAAATCCCTGAATTCAGTAACTGGTTATCTAAATCAAATACCATAAAAAAAGGCCATGAATATGCCTATTGCAAAGTATGTAAGTGTAACATAACTGCACATAAAAATGATATTCGTCGCCATAATTTAACTGAGAAGCACAAAATGAATTACATTGTTACAGTGCAAAATAAAAAACTTTCAAGCATGAAATTTTTAACAACAGACACAGATAATTTGGCTAAAAGAGCAGAAATAAAAATGTGTGCTTTATTAGCTGAAAAAAATTTGCCATTTAGTTTATTAGATACTCTTTCTCCTTTGTGTGCAGATATTTTTTCAGATTCCCAAATAGCTAAAAAACTGTCTTGTAAAAGAACGAAAGCAACAGCAATAGTAACTAATGTGCTAGGAAATAATTTTTGTAAAGAAATGATTGAGGCGTTATCGACCCCAGGCTGCTTTTTCTCGATCATTATGGATGAGAGTACTGACAGGAGCCACAATTAAACAGTGCTCCTTTACAGTTATTTATTTTTGTCCTAAACAAAATAAGGTTGTAACAAATTTTTTTGACTCTGTTGAAATGAGTGAGGCTACAGCTGAAGCTTTGTACACATGTCTTAAAAATGTAATAACCCAAAAAAAAATTCCATATTCTAATTTTGTAGGGTTCTCGTCTGATACAACCAATGTAATGTTCGGTCAGTTTCATTCTGTTTATGCACTTTTAAAACAAGATCTACCTAACATAGTTTCTATTAAATGTTCGTGTCACATGATACATCTTTCAGCATCTAAAGCATGCTT